TTATGCTGTGTAAATAATCGCTAATAGAACGTATGCAATCAGGGACATAATTGCTGAGATGGAAGTCTGTTATCCAAATGTTGATCTAAAATAATTCAAAAAGTGATGTAGTCAACGAACTGAAAAAGGGATTACACGAAATAAACATTTTTACATAAGATACGACAAAAACTATTGAAAAAGTGAATGAAGTCATCTTCGTTCACACTTTATTTTTAGGTCTTTGAAAGATTTGCTCATAACTTCTGACCTAAGAATCTCGCAAAACTTCTGAACATAGATTCGGAAATAGTACAACATTCTAGCTCTACTCTAATATATAATAGTTTCTACTTGCTCTCTCAATTGCTCGGAAAATAAAGGAACATGCCGTCTAAAAACTTTCAATGTACCCGTTATTCATATAAAATAAATAGATAATTTCAATTACATAATTATTAGTTATATGTATACCATCAAGATTTGAATAATTCATTTATGATAGAATTCCATAATTGATTAAAAACAATTTCTCTATCAATAATTATACCGGAAAACGTTGTGTACTTAGTATTATTTCACTATTTGGAAATTTTTATGTGTTTCTTTGTAGCAATAATATGCTAATCATCAAGATTTATTAGTTAGAGATATAGAATATAAACTAATTGAATTAATAGTGATAATCGACTATGCATATTATAATTGACTTCTACTGTATCAAAATCAGTTAGACTATCAGTTTTTGAAAAAGATTGATTAACTAAACAAACAAAATGAGTATTCGAGTCAGAGATGTTCATCGCGGCTCGAAATCTGCCGCTGCCGCGCCGCGGAGATTGGAGAGAAAATCTGCCGCGATGGTACTTGAAAAAAAGTTTTGAATTTCATTGCTGTGAATGTATTGAAATACAATTCTTGTCACTAATCGATGAGATTTATTGAGTCTTAGAGTGTTACGTCTGCGGACACTCAATTTTTGTGCAAATTCATGCAGTTTTTGCCATGTCATCCAGAAATAAGGTACCGCCGCCGCGCCGCTGCTGCGACTGTATTGCTAAAAAATCTCCCGAGCCGCGATGCTTTTTCAAAAAACCTTGCCGCTGCCGCGATGGACATCTCAGATTCGAATATAGATCATTCGAGTATTACGTACATCTGTACCGTTCATTTCGAATAAATAATGATAGTCATTCTGTGAATTCTTTTTTTTCTGATTGTATAATCATTACAATTTGTACTCAGAGATAGATGAAGGTTGAATATAATTCGATTAGGATAAATAGAGATCAACCGGATTAATCTCTTTTCTAAAACTGAAAAACATTTTAAAGACATTATAGATCAGATTTAAAACTTGATACAATCATGTATGTGTTTTTATCTTCTATATTTTTTTATGCTATTATTTATCAATTTATTCATTATTACTGAAGATTGGCTTTTCAGTATACTTTAACACTAATGAACCACTTTGCAGATCTTCAATTTAGATTTAAGTTAAATAAATACTTCAACTCGATGTTTATTGGATAAAACTGGTTAGTCGGTAACAAAATAGTACAGTGTAGTTTTGTTATTTCGAAGAAACAAACACTCTAGTATTCCATTTGGTCTTATTAAAATAATTTCTAGAGCGACAACAGTCAATGATAATCCTGAAGATTCGATTTCTAACTCCTGTCATTCAAATATTTATTATCCACAAAGGACATAATCTTCTTGGTAACGTCTTTCCATTCGTACACATTTATCTGTAGATTCTTTCTTTTCGTAAAGCTGGTTATGTCACATAGGAATGACTGTCTAGCTAAATTTAGACTGATTCACCAACATTGTATATCCTTCGAATGAATCAATGGTAGAACTATATATATATATATATACTTATATTCTAGGGTTTAAATCGTGTCATATTTCATCCATATACATTTAAACAATTAAATGAAATAGTTCAAGCACGTCTTGGTCCTGATTTATCATCATTATTTAATAAAGATGCACTCGATTTAATATGTCGCAAAGTTTCATCAATATCAGGTGATGTTCGTCGTGTACTTCAAATATGTTCACAAACATTAGATATGGCACAATTAGATAAATTATCAAATAAAGTTACACTTGAACATGTACAAAAAACTTTTGAACGTTTATATACATCAACACGAACGATATTTATTCGGTATATTTAAAAGAGAAAGATTTATTGTTTTGTAAGATAAATAATTTTTTTTCCATAGAAATTTAAATCCTACTCAACGTAAAGTACTTGAAGCTATTCAAGATGAATTATCATATGGAAAAGGACGAGAAATTACAACAATTAATGCTATTTATGATCGACTTGGTATGGCATATATTTCATTTTTTATTTTTATTCAATCATTCTTTGTTATTTAGATAAAAAAGAATATAGCTTTACAGATGTTCGTCGTATTTGTGCACAATTATCAGCTTGTGGCTTATTACTTTTAGATAGATCATCAAATAGTATTGCTCGGCAAAGTGTTCGTTTGAGCATGCCTATTCATTTACTTATATTTGCACTTAAAAATAATAATTAATGGTTATATTTTTTTTTTTCTAAAAGGTGACTTAATAGAATAAAAAAATCTCTAGGAATTATTTTTTCATTTGAAAAGGTTTCATTTTTGGAATAACAAAATGAAGAAAAATGTAAAACATTTTATGATGTCTATTTATCCAGATTTTTTTGGACAGATTATCTATCGGATCATATTATTGTATTGATTATATCAGGAACTGATCAACAGTTAATTATTTAATTTTTCAAAGCTGTGAGGATAGAATTGAATATCATAAATAACGATGAACAATTGTTTTTTCTTTAAAAATGAACTTCTAAAACTATTCATTTAGATTTTTAACTTATAATCTAACTATTTCTTCTAAAAGTGTAATACAAAGTTTAAGAAAATCTACAGTGGATAAATTTCGTACATGAAATAAGGATATCTGATTATCATAAGTAACTATCTATTAAATAAATGATTAAATATTTGACGAAATTTTCAATTAAAGTCAACATTAATAGAATACAACTATTCGCTTTATATCTTTCAGATTTCGAATATAAACCCGTGTATCTTGCAACAACATCTTTATTATTCTAACATCTCATTTTTCTCTAGCATGAAGCCGGAAATACTTGATTATTTGTATGTTTGCCAAAAGCGAAGTTCCAGAAAAGTAGCAATCGACTCTGAAAAGGGATACACGAAATTGCCAACAAAAAAAAGAATGCTAGACTGACATTTATTCACCATCTCGGACTTTCCATATAAGAAATTTCTAAATTGTAGCTGTATATCTTCAATGAAGATTTGTATATAAAGTTCATTTGGTTTCTTCAATACATTTTCATTAATAACAACACATTTGACAAATATCAGTTTACTAGGACTATTTGTATACCTATTGTTTGTATTTCTCGGATCCAATTATTAGAACAAAAAATTTTCTCAAAACAAAAGATGCAAAATCCATATGCACTTGACAATGACAATGTTTTAATGTTCCAGACTTAAGAAAACTGCATCGTAAATTAGATAAAACTGCTAGAACTGATGTTATTTCTTCGCAATCTGTCGTTAGCTCTTAACGTAATTGCGGAAAAAATGGTCCACCAAACAAGCTGATGGACTACATCGAAATACAGTGAAAATTATTGCAATGATACACCGTTCTCTAGTCATTTAAGACATTGTTTCAGACCGTCGGAATAATCGCTCTGGGATATTTCATGATTCAGTATTACGACCGTATTTCTCCATCTTGATATACGATACGGAGAAATACGATCGTAATACTAGGCCATGTAGGTACTTCTTCAGATTATACACATTGGCTAGCACAGCACTGTGTAAAGTTGAAGAAGTGTATAATCGAAAAAAGTACCATCACGTAATACATCAATAGGTGACGATTTACAGTCGCTTACGAGCGTGCACATTCAATCTGAATTGACAAGTTTGTGCAATATATAAAAAGAAAACGAATTCTCGTAGTCTTTTTCGAAAGACTATAATTTTTTTTTTTTGAAAGATTATAATCATCGTTTTTCTCTAACCTTTTCGATAATAGTATGCTGCCAGACTTTTGATGTCTAACACTTCATTAGTAGGTTTTACTTCAGTTATCCAACGATTGATCCTAAAAAATAATCTACATATCAACAAATTCTAACTTTAATTTGCAATCGAATGAGACATTTCTTTTTAGCAGCAAGCTTTTGCAAACATCAATTTTAT